TATATATATATATCCATACAGACTGCAATAAAGTAGTTTAAGAATAAGTTATTAGTGTATAACTGCCTGATGATGGCTTTTCATAAGCCGAAGCATGTAGGAAGATACCATTGAAACCAGTAAACTCATTATTCATAGCTGGTGTGAACAGTGAATGAATCATTCCAAATTTCATTTGTGTTGTTGTGTTTGTGTCTAGGTCATTCATGTTTAATGGTAATTATCCTTTTACCATATATTTCTTAGATATATTCTGATTCAATAATGTTGTTTTACAGTGACATTACATGACATTGTGCATACTGAGAAGTCCCTTACTCTTGTTTTTGAATACTTGGAGAAAGATTTAAAGCAGTATATGGATGATTGTGGTGCCATCCTCAGTATGAATAATGTTAAGGTATGTTCTTTGCTTTCATATTGTATGATGCAGTTTGTCTCGAGTAGGATTAGGTAAATTGTTGGAATGTGAAAGTTTCAGTTGTGCTGTACACATTTTGTATTTTTTGTGACTTACTCCACATCCAGCAGTCATTTTAATCAACTTTGAATCCAGTTACCAATCCAAACCCCATGTCTAGTCACCCATGACAGTATGTATATATGTATGTTATGTTTGTATGTACATAGTAAAATCTATGCTTTTACTCATCATCTTCCAAACCATGTATTATTACAGGTGATTATCACGAATGAGACAGTGCAATCCTCATTTAATAGTTCTTCTTTTAGAGTTTTCCCTTATTTGATGTTCTGTTGTCCCATCCCTGTTGTTACAGTATTATCCTCTTTTACATTCATTGCTTACACATTTTTCTCCCCTAGATTAACATTATATTGAGAGTTCACTGTAATTTTGAATTTAAGATCAACATTATTACTGCAACTAACTGGAAATGTTTGTATGAATGTCATGAATGAGTTTAATTTCATTGCAGCATTCAGGGCATGTTTTTATGCAGGATCCAAGTGTGATTTTTATCATAGTGGTTATTATATAATATTATCATTATTAATAATTTGATAATCTTGTAAGTAATTAATTAATGATATATGTCTTGTGAAATCCAGATACTATATATTTGAAGGTTTTTTTTCTTTTTCCCTCAGACAGTACTAATTTAATTTGTGTGCCTTTCAATGCAGCATAACTGGTTTAAAAATAGTTTTCACTCTAATATGCTACTTATCTTATGAAAATTGAAAGGTAAAACTGTACACAGCCAAACATGGAAGTTGTAATCACATAAACTTCTTTTGTGCACCCAACAAATCATGATTAAGTTATTGGCGTGAGAATTTTGATTCTTGTATCATCCTAGTGAACTGTACACAGTTTCTACAAAACTGAAAAGATTGTTCCAACTCATGACGGTTTAAGATGAAAGTTGGCGAGTTTTATAGGCTTCACAGGTAGGCAGGCAAGTTCAAGAAAGATTTTGCAGGGTCTGGGATTAAGATGGAGAAAATCTAAAATGAACATGCAGATTTTAATTGCAAAACATGTTGCCACTGAGAAACATAGAGATCTTGTGGTATAGAGGAGAAGGATTAGTTTTGTATATGAATGAAACTTGCATACTTTCCTGTCATATCCTTTGAATGGCAAATCTTGGACGGTCACTCAATTTTATATTTGATGCTGTTATCCACAGAAGACATTAGAATTATGAAAACACCTCTGTACTATTTGTTTGAAACTTTACTGAAGCAACTGACACGTGTAAGTAAAAGTAAAGCTATCCCTGTAACAGGCCGTGAAGGCCCATAGGGTTGTGAGACATTAAGTGTCCCACATTACCTTGACAATCAGATCAGAGATGGCGGTAAGGTTGTCAGCCTTACGCGCTGCGCTTCACTCCCCAGGAAAATCGTTTAATTTATTCCTGGTACTCATTTCTGTTAGAGGCTGAGTAAACCCCAGGGTCTAGTGCGGCCGGAAGGATTAGGTCATTTGAAAAAATCCAATGACCTCATCGGGACTTGAACCCGCGACCTTCCGGCATGTAGCGTAGTACCTTAACCACTACTTAGGGTGACTGCCATGCAATGCTAGTATTGTGTTTAAATTAATTAATGAGAATATATATGTGTATGTGTTTTTTTAGTCCATACACACATAATTGTAATTCAGTTACAGAATTGGCATGATTGCTCTGGAAAGTGTGGTTCATTTTGTTCTATTCACAGCTGTTCCTGTTCCAACTTCTGCGTGGCCTCGCATATTGCCATCGGCGCAGAATATTGCACAGAGATTTAAAACCTCAAAACCTCTTGATTAATGATAAAGGTGAACTAAAGGTTAGTTAGTTTCTCTTTTCTCTTCCCCCCTCCCCTTCAGTAGAACTACAGTTCATTAGTGTCATAGTTGTCCACTAATAAAAGAAAGTCGTATTGCTGTTCTTTTGTTCACACTGGCACCTTCATTAAAGTTTACATTATGTTGTCTTCCAGTTAATAGTTTTCAGTGACTGGAGACCATACTGAATTTGGGGTGCTTTTGTTGTTGTATGAATGTTAAGTCAGGTCATTGTTTTTGGAAGATTTTGTGTTTTCTGTACATAATTGTATAACATTTTGTCCACTTGAAATCGTTTTATAAATATTTAACATATTTAGCTTGCAGACTTTGGGTTGGCCAGAGCAAAGTCAGTTCCCACCAAAACATATTCAAATGAAGTTGTAACACTTTGGTATAGGCCACCCGATGTCCTTCTTGGATCTACAGAATATTCAACACAAATCGACATGTGGTGAGTATTAGGTACTTTATCTAGTCTCAGGAAGTTATAAACAGTATATCATGGAAAGTCATATACAGAAAATTTTGTTTCAGACACATAATTTTCTCTTTTTTCCTTTTGATTTTTTTAGCTCTTATAGCAAGGGGGAATATTTATACATAAATTTACACATCTCATCTACAGTAAATTTATACATAAGCACAGATTGTTGTCTATGTACGAGGGGGAACCCAAAAATAA